GTTATGTTTTAATCGCTTGGTGCTACAACTGCTGGTTTCGCACCTTTACGTACATATGAGCGTAAATTCGCACACAGATTTGCGAATGCTTGTAGACTTGTATATTAATTAAACTAACTTGATCACTCTATTTTATTTAATTGAATAGGTTTAGAATATACACGCAGTCTGTATGGTTGACCTGTTAAGTTTTGTTATCATGTTATTTTGGATGATGTCCGTCATATCAAGGACTTAAATTTAGCACGCTTTTCATCGGGATCGAATTGGTTTGCCTCGGGTAGTTTCAACTAGAATGTTCCAATCAAGTCAACCGACAAACGGCTGGGATCTGTTGGAATCTGCCTTCAAATCTTTAGATCACGCATTTTCGCTCTGAATGGTAATGAGTTGAACAATTGTGGTATTTCTAATATCGACATTCAAATTGAATGAAATCACTTTTGGTTTTTAGACCTTAACTTTTGAGTGGGCTGCTGTTTACTAACTTCTCTACTCATATTAATTTACATCTTTATTTTTCACCCAGGATCCTCGCCATATCAACATAATGATAGTGTGGCCGAATCACTTTGCTCTCCGACCCCTCACTTCATCCATCCATCCGAGCATATACGAAAGAAATTTTCACTGGGTTCCGCACCGACGGGAATGGTTTGTTAGCATTAAAATCATATTTTACACTTTCCACGTACTCTCACAGATACTGTTACATAATTTGATCAGCTACACTGTTGTTTATAGCCAATTGACGTTGCCTTATATTATTAATGAATTATTAAAACTTTTTTTTTAAAAATATAAACTACTTCCTCACCATATTCATATTTTTTATTTAATTTCATTCCACTGGTAATTATTTTTTTTACATTTGTCCCAAAATTTTAACTTGCAAGTAAATTCCTCATAACTTTTATCTTCTATGTTTTCATCCAACAATATGCCAACTATCAATCATTAATTTTTGATTCCTGGTACCTCACTCCATCTGCCATTCATCGAATGATGCCGATTCCCTATGCAACATATTCTCAAAAAGACTCAAGACAATATTTCTAGTTTCATCATTGATATGGACAATCTGAATTGGTTTCGTTCTCAAGTCGCTAACAGCAACCTTACTCGTGAATGCCAAGATGAAACGTGCGATTCGATTAAACGCTTTACCTCATCACAGCCTTACGAATTTCTAGTAACCCTTAAACGCCAAGCAACTGGATTTGGCTTTACTATTGTTGGCGGTGCTGAGGAGGGGACTCAAGTGAGCAAATTTTCTTCTTAATATCCTACGACGAAACTTTGTTTAATATCCCGGAAGATTTTGATTTCCAGTATGCAACACAGGATTATTGCTAAATATTAGTGTAGAATTGTATTTTTGTGCTCGACTTTAGACCCAAGAATCTTGGTTATTAACTATTTTTTGCATGCTTATAACCGCGTTCGATATATATTTATATCATCGGCTGTAATGACCAATACAAGCTTGGCTTATCGGGACCAGTCCCACTAATAAATAGGAATCATAAGTTGCATAGGCTCTCTTGAATGTCACAGCTGATTCACCGGTGCCCGAGGCTGGGGAGCGAAATAGTATCATTGTTGCTTGGTGCGCATTATCCGGTTTATAATGCAATTATGGTTGCTGATGAAACAGGTTGTCAAAGCTGCAACCTGCCATGGATGAAAAAGCCCTTTAGGAGGCAAGACATCATAAAGCCTACTCATTTGATTCACTACACATTATTTTCATAATCCATGGTGACTTGAGTCAGGAAAAAATCCAAGAATTACACATAAAAATGCTTACTTAGAGCATTTGTACTAATGATTAGACGGTATAAAGGATTACATTAAAAACATTATGTGAGCGTATATGAATCATAGGTTAATAGCTTGTCCTTAACCGCAGTAGCAAAGCGGGCATATCATATACCAGAAATTTTGCAATTTTCAATATTTAG